GAATCAATTGTAATCTACTTGTGGGTCAAAATAATATATAATCATACTGTACAATAAGGTACTATTTTATGTGTATATTCATATTTCTATTATTCGGAGCTTTATGTTTCACGTACTGAATATCATTACATAGTTTCGTATTCATAAGTTATACTCAGTTTACTTATTACAGTCTCCCACAATCGCAGTCACTTTTTGCCTTGATCCTGTACAATTTCGATTTTTCATTTTATGGAACGATATAATCTTTTTTGTGTGTATATGAAACTTGTATGCTGAAATACATGTTTCTTATAACGAGGTCTGAGATCAGTATTCTGGACTATAGGTGTTGAGCCACCCGGGAAACCACTACCTTGGTGGAACAATGAGAACTCACAGATGAATGTGAACTGCTCGTACTGGTTTATGCATCGTTGGTCTTCTAAGTAATTCAGTTTTCTAATCCGCGATCTTATCGCTTGAAAGTTAACAGACAATATTAAGACAACAGTAATATAATGAACATCAAAATTGTCAAATCTCGGGATCCTTACATTTTCCTCCTCAATGTCCTCCATTTACTTAACGCCAAAATACAGTAAAACTATTTGTTTAAATTAAGACTAAAATTTTTATTTGAGTAATATATCTTAAAAATTGAGACATCAGCTGAGCAACATCATTGGGAAGAACAAATCAAGTAAAATTATTGTTATGCAACGAGATTACTACTTGCTTACTTCTTCAAGTAGTTTGACCGTTCAATTCTAAAGCTTCCGTTTTCGACAAATCTTCAATCCTCAGATCATAAGCTTAGTCTGCTCCAGCGAATAAAATGTGTGAGTTAAACCCCATTTTCAAATTATCCTTTACATCTTGATGTACGCTTGCTAACTTACACAAAATTCCCGGAATGCAATCCCGTTTGCATTTATATTCAAAACGTTATAAGCTAGGCTGATATGCTACAGTAGACTAACGATGTTCAGTGGGTATGATATCAACGATGTTTCAACCTAAATGAAGATTTATTACCACTTGAATATCACATGGTCATTTATTCAGTTGAAGTTATTGAGTAAAGATTAACGTGAGCTTTTTATTGATAGTCGTATTTTCACACTATCTTGATGTGCTTTTATAATTTGTTAGTCTCCGGTTGTCCTATCATGATTTTCAACGTGTTCCAGTGAATATGAAAGTTGGTAGATGGTCTTGATACTGTATTTGTTTAAAATTATAAACATTCTCTGTGTTTCTGTGTACTAAATTGAATGTAGCTGTAGTTCAATTTTGAAATTTGCAAATGTGAGATGTGTCAGTAAACGTTTTCCTGGAAACTAATTTCTCCAGCCATCGAAATTCAACTGAGAAAATTGTTCCATTTCATGTCTTTTCAATATTCGGACCGTGATATCAACTGATGTTTTGTCTAGAATGATGAGATTTGAATTATATCATTTATCAGTGTTGAATGTGAGTAAATAAATAAACTGGATTGACGGAATAAGAATATAGAGGTGGTATTAAAATGCATCCTTCACAAATACGTTTGATAAATGTAATTTACGGAACACTGGTTTCGATATCGGCACTGATATAGCGGGTAACAGTGCATTCACTGAATAAATCCCCGACACATGTTGAGAGTTTCTCTTCAATCACTCTTTTTATTTCGCCAATTAAAAGGAATAAACAATGATACGGACTTAAGAGTTAGGTTCTTAAATTGAGCAACTGTTCTGATAGTCTCTCTCTATTGCTAACAAATTTTGAACTCCTTAGAAGTAGCGAGAGGTCAAATATACAAGTGTGATTGCATCTTTATGCGAAGACGCTTGAACACACCTATAATGCATCGACATAATATAACTAGACTCCATGGACTTTCTTAGCTGTTCATGACATCTGTATGTCATGATGAATTTTGTTTACCTTATTCCATGTGTTCTTTGAATTCAAAATATAATAGTTATTCTTTTTCTTCTACTGTTCTATCGCACTTGATTATTTATTATCAAGTGTATACAAGTGAACTGACCCTGTAGGCTAAGTCACCTGTTGCTCCTTAACAAATCGTAGACGTTAGTGCAAAAGTTTAACAATACATTGATGAACTACATTGCAGCATTGATCCGGTATTTTCGACTTCAATCATGAAGATGAAAGATACAATGCTCAGAAAGTCAGGTCTATCAACGTTAAACAAATCGTCTCGATACAACTGAATTATTTGTCCAGAACATGGTGACAAAGTACGCTAAACCATGTGTTTGCAATGAATTTCATTTAGCAATGAAGCTCGTTGCCACATCCACCAGATTACCATTAACAAGATGTTCCGGAATAACGTAAACATTTTGTTCTATTTATTAACCTTGTGATGCCTGCGTTATATGACACTGACTATTCACATTCATGATTACTGTGTTTGACTATTGTTTACTTGTTTGAAGCGACAACCACGGTGAATAATATATGCCTGAGAAATTGTTTCAATCAATTATTGTTTGAACAGATAGTAGTGACAGGTGCCTGATAACTTTTCAGATTTCTGTGAGAAATGATTGTTGTGAGAAACAAGAAAATGGGTTCGGAATATGCAGCTGTTCAAGCCTTAAAGATTGATTTGCTTTCGTCCTGTTTTCCATGGTTTTCATTTAGCTGATGTGTTCGACAAAGACAGGCAGAATAAACGACAGGAAGCGAGCCGCGTGCTCTATGATTTCGTTAGGAGCCATTCAGACTGTACACTCCAGTGTTCATGCGATCTCAGCATTTCATTCGTTATTGCGCTGAAATTGTGTCAAAGTTTGTATTACATTTAAGTTTACATATAATCGCTAACATTAAACAATTGACACCTTATCACACGTCTCAGAAAAAGAGTAGTTCAAGTTAGAACCGCAACGATTTTTTCAATATAGTCAAAACACATCAAAAGAGTGATGCTTGAGATCGAGTCAACGATATTCGTCATTAGTTTTCTCGGTAAAGTAGTTTCACATCGACTTAAATGAAAGTTTTCCTTCATTATTGAAAGAAGTGAATTTTTTAAGCAACAAACTAAACTTTCTTTATCATGTAGGCTTATCACTCAGTCTTTTATGCAACGATTACCTGGCGTTTTGATTGAACGTTGACGTTTTTGATTCGTAAAACTATTTTCGGAAAAGAATACTCATACATATGCGGAAGTTTTTTACTTTGGCTATCATAGATATACCAATGTACTATTCGTTGGTCTCCTTTATCTAAAAGACGGGTAAACTGAGTTTATATAGGGTGACTTTCCACGACGTTGACTTTGAAAAACTTTCAGAAGGACATCCCATTCTACTACTTTTAATATAATTTTCTCAATAAAGTCACTGCTTACAGCACACATTCAAGTGGGATTATTGATAATGTTGACCTATATGTGCACACGGAAACGATTTGTGCGGCCATGCCTTTTCTATCAAAAGAGATTTTACACCATTGTGAAATAGGCTAACATGATCCACTTTGTATAAAGTTCCAATCTATTTACCTTTGTGAACTCTATAACCACTTCCCTGTGAAGTCGAAGCCATCTGCATCTTCTTTAAAAAGCCTGACAAATTTATCTTAAAAAGAAATGTTCAGCTCCTATGCTTACTATCGTTCATGACCGGGTTCCTATGTTGATTAGGTGAACAACTCAAAACCCCTCAATCTTCACCAGTTCTTTTTGTTTACACATATTTCACAATTTCAACATCCATTTACTTGACACGAACAAAGTCTAGCAATAGTTCTTTTGTCAGCTAATGTTTCACTACATATTATTTTTACATGGCACTGTTGTTCCTATTACTATTGTCTTCATCAACTAGAAGAAATCCTTCAACTATAAATTTAATTCACACGATTTTTTTATTACTGTTATATTGATTTAAACTTATTACTCTACACCGGGACATCCTGACGTTTATCAAATACTCAATCTTATTCACTGGTTATACTTCTTTTATATAAGCTTGCAGCAACCGATGTGAAATTCTAATGTTTCAACTTTTGACACTGTCTAAGTCATCTGCTTGCCTTAATCTGCAATTTGTTAAATAAACAAATGGTATGGATCTATTATTGTAAAGTCTGATGATAAAGTTATTAGAAAAATATTTTTACTCGACTATCCCTCTCTTCTGTTTATCAGCTTACAACTCTCTTGACTTGCATTGTTATAGCCACGCAAATTTACTGAATCCAGTGTATGCGTAACTACTTGACGCTTTGGTAGTTTGAAGTCAATATTTGATGTATACAAATACGTTTACACAATCTGTGAGAAATTAACTATGTACAAAAATTGCTGGTGGAACGAAAATTTGAAACCACTGTAGAGCAAACTCACATGTACTACGAGGATATTTGAACAATGATGTAAACAGGTTATTCGATGCTTCAAATTCACACAACCATACATTATCCTACTGTACTTGCTTGGAACGAAGCTTTTTTGGTGAATCAGATGAAATTATTGAAAATCTAAAACACTGCTATGATGAAATGACATAAGGTTGATAGAGATGAGCGTCCACATGATGATAATGATGATAATAAAGATCCTTAGCCGCAATTCATAAATAAAAGTATAATAATTTTTGAAATAAAGTCAAATTTGTTATTTTATAAAATAAGAGGGGAAGTCGGACTTTCATTGGGTAACTGACAATGTTAAAAGAGACGATGTACAAGATGACAACAATGAATAGATTGAATTTGAGATGACAAGTTGCATTCATTGCAATTGTTCGTGATGAATCATGAGAGATTTACTAAAGAAGTAAAATTCGTGGATGAATCAATGAAATTTGCGGAAACACGCAAACACAATATGAACCTGAAATACATGTTCCATGAAATAAAGTTCGTGTTGAGTCATTAGATAAATTCTGAAAACAGTAGATACATTATGTCATCGCCGAGTGTGCACATTAGCATAACAAATTTAACTATTCATGAACTATCGAACTATACTTGATATAAGCGAAATGTTTATCCGGTGAATCAGATGAAAATATCGAAAATTGTTTACTTTTTTATAGACAATTTCGTTGTGACACCAAGTCTGTGGATGATAGTGAAGAAGATGGAGAAAAACGTGATGATGATGATATCCAAGATAATGCAAATGATGAGAAAGAAGATAATCAAAATGATAACGACGACAACTGTATTATGTTGTTCAATGGATTGGAACTCGGACGTCCAGTTTCAAGCAGAAACAGTTCCTTCAGCTCAGATCAACGATAAAGTATGACGAACGCTGCTGAAATTTCTGCAAACTGGAATACTTAACAAGTTTAAAGATTACCAGCAATAAAATATACATTTATTCAGTACGAATATTATTTTTGCAATTGGTTCCCTTATTAAGTTTAAAAGTACGTGGAAATACAAGCATGTAGCATACAATAAACTAATAGTATTTCGTTACTCATCAATGAAAGTCTCAAATGTCGTGAGTTATGCACTCGTCATGCACACGAAATTAGTAGTGAGGTTAATTGGCGTCCGTGTGACTCAGTCAAATACTTCGTTTTTTCTCGTATTCAGAAGGCACCTTCAATCTGGTTCATACATTTTTAATGCAGGTGTTCTTCTGTTTATATGTTAGTGATACGCAACAAATACACATCAGAACGTTTAGCCAAGGTTTGATAGTTTGACAGAAAACATACTCAACTTCAAATTTTTCTTTCACATCAGTATTTTTCAACAAACGACGAAATATCATGTGTAGCAGATTGTAACAAAATGAACTACCGAAACGTACACGGATATTCCACTTAGCAGATATACTCTTATTTACGATGGATTAAAAATTAAGAGAGATTAACAACAAATGTGCAGTAGAATTGTTGCATGATCACCAAATTAATGTTTTCTGAAACAAACAATAAGTCCAACGAGTCAATCGACAGAACATACACAAATGACCGATTCATGCTGAATCGTTAAGGTGAAGCGAGACCACCTTCAATAATATCACCGTTCAGCATGCCTAAATATCACAAACACATCAATTCAATCTACGCCACACACACAAACATGTCACAAATGATGAGTTTGAGTGTTCAATGTGATCGGACGAGCGATTTCTTATTGAAACACTGATGAAATTTCAACTAACTTGAATACTTGACATCTACCAATAATACCAGCCATAAACGTCAAATTTATTCAGTACAACTAAATTTCTCAACGAACATATGAAGCATCGGGAGTTAAGCAGCCTAACTAAGAAGAATTGATAAGACCGAGAACGCATGAACATGATAATTTGTCAAATAAGTGAAATTTGTGTCAAAAACGGAAGTATATGAATAAGATATTCAAGACATAAAACAATAATTGCTAGAGTTCAACGGATGTAAGAAAACGAAGTGGAAAATGAATGACGTCAACTACAGAAAAACGTGATGCATACGATTGACGAGGGGAAATGTAGTATGCGCGGGATATACATATTTTTGTTATGAGAGAGGCACACTAAAAAAAGGTTAAAGTCAATCAATGCATTCGAAATGACGTACATTACGCAGAAGCTTTCAGAGACATGCAAAAAAGACAACCCTGAAGCTGTTTCAAAAGAATGACATCAATGAATAACAGCTTGAGAAAGAATGCACTGAGAAAAACCACTGTGTTTGGTGACCCACGTTTCATTAGATTGACTCTGTCTTCATTCATTAGCGTGACACTCACAGCTGCTACAAAATACAGTAAACAAAGAAAGCTAATTTAAGTATTAATGAACGAGTCAGCCACGCACACATGACACGTTTATGTGTTCAATATGTTGAGCTGACTGTTGTCCTATCATAACTCGTGATCGCGATTATGAGATTTCTCATCTTTTTTAGTTTTTGTAGCACGTGTTTCTATTATAGTAAGCTTAATTTGACGGCTTAGTATGTACCTATCATGTACCGAGATCAGAGTGAATATTTCTTTAAAGACTTAATTGTTTACCACTGCAATGGTTTCTCACCTGCATTTTGTTTCAATATTTCTTAGTTCTTAAACCATCACTTTAGTTTATTTTGAGCATCTCTTTCTCCATAAATACTTCGAAACTTATCACAGTCTAGTCGTATTAACATTAACAACAATAGAATATATTCCACTTATTATTCTCACATTTTGTTTGGATTGTCAGTCGTTCATTGTTCACTTTCTCCACTTGCTTTTTATCTGGTAAAATAACAATGAATACACATGTCTATATAGATGGTCCTTCAAAGTGATTGAGTCAATAATGAGAATGTTATGAAAATGTTATGATTACAGCTGCTATGATCTGTCACGTACTCAACATTTGAAAATACGTGAATGTGAACATTTATGTTACATACATACAGAAACGTTTTGTGAACTCACATTTTGCTTTTACCTACTAAAAAACAATGAAAACAATATCGTGACTACGTGTATATAATGTTGAAAATTCGTTCGCTCAGAAGCACAATACTTGTTCATTCTCAACCCTTTCAGATGTTTGCCGGTACTTTGAAGGTTCAACTAGAGGCAATTTGAAAAAGTCGCCGTAGACCACCAAGTAAAATCTCTTTTCAGACTGAACCTACATCACAAATACGACTAATTGGTCCATAGAACACATTCCGGGTACAGTTTCATCTAGTATGTAGGTCAGATTGAACAACTTATTTCACAACCATCGAACTAACAAGAAAGTGTTAATTAAATAAAATATTTTCATATGGTTGAAAGTACAATCAGTAAACTCACTTTCCTGAAATTGTCATTTTGATGTCATAAAGAATAAGAAAAATTGAAAAACAAAGAGTTAGATTATTATTAAAGAAGGGAAAGTGAAATTCACAAAATTTTGCTCAACGTGGCTCAATGCAATCGTTTCGATCTCCTATTTCTTCAGCTTAGTTCCTTTTACCTCACTATTTGCATTTTGACACTGTAGCGCCTTGATTATTTTTATATACTTCTTGTGTTTGGATATCCAGAGTCAGTACGACATTTATGTGTACCAGTGTTTATTATATCTGTGAACGTCTGTATTGATTCACGTCTGTCATTTTTGAGATAATGACGTCGCCATTGTAGATGATCATCAAACGACTCTAGTCTTGACTTTGTCAAACGCAGCGTATTAAGATAAGACAAATTAACATGGGAAAATGTTTAAATCTCTGTTACATGAACTAAATTCGAAGTAAAGGTGTTGTTAAGGATTTCATCAAACTGTCATCATAGCATTGCTTCATCACGTACGCTAACTGAGAAACTGAAGCAACATTGAGGTCAGTCAGACGAGCACCTCTTTTCTGGATATAAATGCCATCACTATGTAGACCCTTAAGCAAAGATGACACTGACCAGTGATTTGTGGCTATGCGCCACTATGCAAATAACTGTCCGTTTATAACCTCGTTATCTCTGTAATGGCGTGCATCGTGAGCTGATGGTGAAACAATGTTGTTTGGACTGTACATCTGAATCACATCAGCATGAAGCAGATTTCAAGATAAACAACTATGTTGGTTGATATTCCGTCCTAATTTTTCGAATGAGATCTATGTACAATTTCTTTTACCACAATCCTGTATGGTAGAAAAATCTTGCAGTACATAAGAAAATAAAGAAAATGTTACCCATCGTCGGCAGAGAGAAATGGTTTCCGTGTTTGTTGAACAGAATGAACACTCCTTCCATCCGCTCTGCTGTTCGGAAGTCGTTCATATTATACTCGAATTGATCGCTGGAGATGATAAACATCTGTAGAGGTTGTGATAAATATCCCCTGAATATGATGATTGAGTCAGTTTGTTCACAGGCTGAGATTTCTGTTTCCCACCTCAAACGTGGGTTATATTTGTCTTCCACCTCGATTTGACGTTAATGATTCTCGGAACTACAAAATTATGAAATGTGCGATGTTAGAATAATGCGAATGCACCATGACGATGTTTATGCTTACAGACACATATATCGTATAATAACCCATCTAATCGAGCAGTACTGTGACACTTTTACAACGTATTTCGAGACTGCTAGCCATCACAAGCGACTCATTGGAATATTTCATTGAACGCATGATCATTAGAAATTCAAATATAGTATTCGAAACGTCCACAATTCTGATGAAAGTGGAACAGATATTGGAAATATGATCATCTGGGAAAAATTTTGAAACAACGCACCTCTTTTGTATTTCATGTGATAGGTCACGGAAGGATAAACATAGTCGTTTTTGTTGTAGTCATCAGCGCGATAATTTGTAACTTAGCATGGTTTACCAATAGCTTCCAATGAACCAATATTGCTTTCATAAACCTTCACCGTTATATCAGACTAAAGATTCATATCATGGACCAAATAGATATGATCGAAATTCTCATGCAACATTGCTTTCCATTCGAAAGCCATGGTTGCCGTCTGTTCATGAATTACGCATGACAGCTAAACCAATGTGATGACGTTGCTAACAAGGGCACTCGAAAATCTGTACTCAATTAACTGATGATCAGGTAATACAGAAAAAATTTCTTTGTGTAATTACTTGAGCAAGTTGGCACAAAGTATGTTTTACAGAATGAACAGTCTTTATTGGACAGCATTAGAATAAAATTATGGTGGTTCGGTTACTGCAATTCACGATGCACATCGTAAATGAAGGTTTCGTTTATATAAGTTTAAGAAAACACAAATAAACGCAAAATGAGCTAGCGGAAGACCATTGTAGATTTTAGGATGATTGTAGTATAATCGACAGATTAATCAGTCCAACGTTGCAACGGGTGGTTTACCTCGTGATGAATGATTCGTATAAATGGTGAAATAAATAGCTGTATGTGTAATCACAATCAACCTAAACAACTTCTTTTGTCCTCATTATCATACGATCATCAAAAATGAATAGTGACACGAATAGAAAATGGACGCTCAAGAAGTATGATAATTGTGAGAGTATCAAAGCGACGGCTGATAATAAGAAAATTATACTCAAATAACTATTCATGATCATAATAATCACACTCACTTCCATCCATATTTGGTTGCAAATATGCGGGTTTATGCTGTGCATTTCCCGTGTGTAGTGATGAGAATGCTAGTGAAATTAGTAAAACATGGAGAGAAATATGATTATTTATGATATAGTAAATTCAATTTCCATTGTGAAACAAAAGTACTTAAACCTAATTGAAATACCTTATGTGTACCTTATGTACACATATTATTCTGCCGGAACCAACGGTCGAGCTGCGAGTTCA